TTTTGCACTACAAATCATTATATCTGCACTGTTGTTTACTTCACTGGTTTGCACTCTATCTGCCATGTGCCGTGTGCTGCTTTATATATATTTTTTTATATATTTTTTTACATTTTACCTTATTTGTATATTTGTATAGTTGTATTTTATACTTAATCTGTATATCTGTATTTATGTTCTACTGTTAGTGTTATCTGTATGCACCAAGGGTCTGAGAGTAACGCAATTTCAATTCTCTGTGTGTATGTGCTGTACATGTGGAAGAATTGACAATAAAGCAGACTTGACTTGACTTGACTAATACACCACAGCTGTGTGGTGCTAAATGGGTCATGAACAGCCATATCGGTTCTTTCCATTTTAATCTGAAGATAATCTGACAGTTTATTTACTGTATAGGGTCTCCAACCCTGCTCCTGGAGAACTTCCTTCCTGCAGTCTTCAGTTCCAACCCTGCTTCAACACATTTGTCAATTATTTTCAAGTAACCCTTAAGACCTTGATTAGCTGGTTCAGGTGTGTTTGATTAGAATTGGGGCTGAACTCTGCTGGACGGTAGCTCTCCAGGAGCAGGGTTGGAGACCCCTGTTGTAGGGGGTGTTTGCACAACACCATTTTTAACTAAAAAAATTTAAAAAATGTAAGCGTATTGGGTGTATATTTACAGTGTTGGGAAGGTTACTTTGGAAATGTAATAGGTTACAGATTACAAGTTACCCTATTTAAAATGCAATAGTGTAACTATTTCAGTTACTTTATTAAAGTAATGTAACTGATTACATTTGATTACTTTTTGATTACTTTTCTAAATTTCATGAATGTTTTCAAATGTTAATCATTTTGAAACATTTGAAGCAGGCAGGGTTAACCTTACAGTAGGACTCAACACTGATTACTGTCAGACTTTCAGAATCCTTCATCATTTGAATTAAGATTATAATTTATTTTTAAAGCACATCCACCACAAAAGCACCTCTTTTTACTTTGAGGTCGTTCTGAGGTTAAATACAGATTTAAAACCATAACAAGAAATAGTTTAATAGCTATGATACTGTTTTTGAAATCAAATCTTTGCATAGCTATGACAGGAAACACTGGCATCTAACAGTTAATCTAAAAAAAGCATATACATAAACCCAAATAAGAAATAAAAACAGTATTAGAGCGGTCGCCGATCGTGTCTCTTTAGGGCACTTGGCGGAAATCACGCAATTCATATGGATTACTTTGGCGATGTTTTTTTTGCGATGTCAACTTTTTGAAACGTGAGCATCTTTGGTGAATCTTCTTTCATCAGAGGGACATAAATCTCTCAGTAACTGGAGTCCCTAATCATGCAGATTTATGCTACAAGCTCTGTGTGGAGTTGTACAGTATGAAAGTTATTTCCCTTAACCAGGAAATTAACGTTCTTAGAATTGACAGAGAGTTGACCCTGAGAGGTCAAGTAAATATCTACAGCGGATCTAAATATTTATAATTAATTATAACCAGTTATGATTAATTATTCATATTTCCCCATGAGCTGATTCGCTACATTGGTGTCTCCTATTTTAGAGCAGTCACTGCAATTTGGGAAAGAAATCAATTAAATCTGTATGTGTGTGTGTGTGTGAAAATATTCAGATGTAACCCCCTTTGTAATCTTTAACATTTTCATAAGTAACTGTAGTTTAATTACACATTTATTCTCAGTAACTGTAACGGATTACAGTTACATTTATTTTATAATTAAATATGAGTAATTCCATTACATGTAACTAGTTACTCCCCAACACTGTTCATTTGCATGTCAACGGTGTTTAGTGGGCCTGAAAATGGGTTTCAAAGTGCAAGTTTTTGAAAACGATTCTGTTATTTTCACTGTGTAATCTACAAAAACTGTGACATCATGTACGTGCATATTACATGTGCAGACTATAGTGTTTCTTTACAAAGTGACATCGCCAACTACTGGCCTGGCATGCATAGTACAATGTTTTATTTACAAGAAAATACTGTTTCAGTTTTTCTAATTCAAAATTTCATGTTTAATTCAAAGTTTTATTTGCCGTTTAATTTTAATTCGCTTATTTGTGAAAATAATTTCTACACAATAATTTCTAATTATTATTATTAATTATTTCTTAACAAATTTTTTAGTGCATAAATAACTATTAGCATCAACACATGATAACATTCTGTTTATTATATGCGCATTCTGCAGTCATGTCATCTGATGCTCTAGGCTAGCTCTTTACAGTCTGGTGGATTCTGATTGACTGTCAATATTTGTATCGTTTAGCTTGAAAAATTGTTCTGAAAGTGATTCATACGACATCGTTCCTCTGTGTCGTTATCGTTATTGCTGTGGTTTGGACTTAACTATTTTCATATAATTATATAGGCTAGTTATCGTCTTTGCTGTGAGTAGAATAAATGCTGTAGATCAAAACCAGTATAAAGTGAGCTAGTTGCATAAAAAAAATCTATAAAATATATAGGCCAATTAAAAAAAATCTAATTTCATTGTATTTTACAAATTTGCAAAGAAACACACTGCATACATTCTAATTAGGATGCTGCTTGTCTAAAATATATACATGAAGTAACATATTTGAACATACTGTTTTAAATGTTTTCTTTTTGTTTAAGAACTGGTATAGTTTTTGTCATGAAGCCACAATGAAGATCAAAGCCTCCAAAGGGTTAACTAAGTCAATTACCCATTGGCAGCCAGGATTCTGTCTCTCCACCAACCCTGTCTCTCCTCCCAACTCTTCCTGCCTCAGTCAGGTGACCTGAGCAGGAACGGGGTTGATGGGATCCCAGCCATGTGTTCTTAGTTCCTAAACACACAATCAGCCTTGCAGGGCCTAACGACATGTCCACGGAGCAGAAGGAGCTCACACAGACACCACTGCTCAAGATATGGGTGCCAGGAATGGGCAGTTCTCTAGGCCAGAGGAGAGGCTGTAAGTGAGGGTATAACCTAATTCACCTGCATTTCCTTTTTCTATATTTGCTTATTCCCTCTCCTCTAAAATTGTTGGGGCATTAGGAGGGTTAATCTCTTGTAGATGATCAACCCTGGTGTTGTGAGCTTCAGCCCTGCCTGCTTCTGTTGTCTACATTTCATTGCCTCTTCAAGTTGCACCAAGTTGTGTTTTTGAGAGCTTTGTTTCTTCCGTTGTGGCAACGGAATGATCAGGAATATTAAGTGCTGGAGTTGGCTTCAAGACTCATGTGATTCCTTGGTTACTGTGGGATGTTCTTTCAGTAGTTTTCATACTCTTTGCCATCCAAGTCATTTGAATAACCCTGCTGTCTCATTACAATTCAGCATAGGATGAATTACAAACTGATGATGATGTGCTATTTTCAGTGCAGAAGTCAGTGAGTTCCTGTATGTTCTTAGAAGTTAATACGGCAGCCGCCTTTTTGTACCGTTTAGGTTTTTCTAATTTCTCTCAAATGAAACAGACTAGCAGATTAATTTTGCATAGGCATTATCTTGTGAATGCATATGTAATCTCCTACTCCAACATCTTCAAGTGATTAAATATTGTTCAAACTTTAATGTCAATGTTTTCTACTGGTCCACAGCCTCACGACCCCAGTTTACAAACTGTCCCACAATGATTGTGATGGTTGGTCTGCCAGCCAGGGGAAAAACCTACATCTCCAAAAAGTTAACCCGATATCTAAATTGGATTAGAGTCCCAACTCAAGGTGAGCGTATATATATTATGAAGTTAATGATCAGCTCTTAATGGCAAGTATTTGGATTTGTGTTTATGTTTGTGGTATGTACATACATTTATTGCATATTAAATTATTTGCTGATATACCAGTATAATTTTCATTATACGCATAAATATTTGCATGTATGTATAAAACAAACCTATTAAATTATTTGCTATATGTAATGTATATCAGCATGATTTAACTGTAAATGTGTAAATATCTGCTAACAAACTTTTTTTTTTTGCTTTTTTTTTATGTAAAGTCTTTAATTTGGGTCAGTATCGAAGGGAAGTTGTGCAGACATACAAGAACTATGAATTTTTTTGTCCAGACAATGAAGAGGCCATGAAAATCCACAGGTACAATATATTTAGGATGATTGCATATAACTTCTAAATAAACTGCATTATTTGATTAGGAAATCTGTCTTGTGTGCATATCTATGCATTATGTGTAATTTGTTCAATGCATATCTGTGTATTGTGTGTTCAGAGCCTGTGCCTCAAATGCTCTTAAGGACATCGCCAATTACTTCACTAAGGAGCAGGGACAAGTTGCAGTGAGTCAAGAACGTAATGGATAACGGTTCTTCTTGTCTGTCCAAGCTATGAATTAAAATTGTCAAGCTACTATATTAATCTGTCTGACTTTACATCCAATACAATTGAGAATTTACCAGTTTAGTCTGGGACTCTCAGCATTCTTATTGAGGAGTCGACCAATCATTGAGGCAAATCAGTCTCTGACAAATACACTTCACAGGTATTTGATGCCACCAATACCACAAGAGAGAGAAGAGGAGTCATTATCAGTTTTGCCAAGGAGAGGGGCTATAAGGCAGGTGCAGGTTTTTGCTTTTTTTCAACAGACTGCTTTATGTAAGTCTGCCTCAACTCTTCTTTGTATCGTATTCAATGTGATGATTGATGGGATGTTACTTCAAGACTATAGCTGTAAGTTATTTTATCAAAAGTTTGATAAGTACTAGAAGAGATTGTTGTGCTCCAAGATTAAAAATCAAATTGCTTCAGGTGCGTAGAGCCAAAAACAGATCAAAACAAACAAGGAGATTGCTATCCGCACACTGAATTAGATCTGGACTGGAGAAGGTCTAGCAAAAATATTTTATTATATAAATTACAGGATGCAAAAATTTTAAATATGATATAAATTGATGTATTAATTAATGTAAAATACTTAAACTAGAGCCATTCCTCCAGGGGGATCTATTTGGATTACCCCAGAAATCTTTTTTTCTAAGTATGGCAACGGACAGTGTTGCATAAGGTATGATTTGTTTTCACCACCTATTCATTTCCATCATATCCACGAATGGTGATTGACAGTGATAAAGCTCTGACATTTTTTTTTTTCTCTAAAATATTTAATTGACAGCCAATCGATTTGTTACAATGAACTGGACTCCCAGCGCTAAATATAATCTGTAATATGAATCATTTTTTAACTGAGCAAACCGATTCAGAGTTTGATTGCGATATTGAATTGATTGTGTCAGCGTGCTTGGCTGCAGGGTAACAAAAGCAATATAGTGTTTTGTGACCCATTGGAAAAAAAGTAGTTTGTTAATAGAAAGACTTCGTTTTCATTTTGAAAACACTTAAGCTGCTGTCATTTAATATTTTATCAAATTATGTCGATTTTAGCAACCATCCTTTCATACAAAATGTTTATGTCCAGGTATTTTTCATTGAGTCGGTTTGTGACGACCCAGAAATCATTGAGGCAAATATAATGGTAAGATTGTGTTATTAAACTATTTGTAATGCTAGACTATTAAAATTGTTTTGAAAATATTTTAGAATGAGATAGCTTTTGTTTACTATTATTTCCGTGTTTTTTGACAGCAAGTAAAGCTGAGCAGCCCAGATTATGAAAACTACGACAAAGAAGCAGCACTGGTGGACTTTCTGAAGCGTATTGATTGTTACAAAATGTCCTATGTCCCCCTGGATGAGGAAAAGGACAGGTACCCTGCTGCTGAAGTCTCAAATGTAAGATGATATGTGCATCAGTTCCAACCCTCTGCCTCTCCATCGGTTTTATAGGCACCTCTCCTTCATGAAGATCTTTAATGTGGGATCCAGGTACCTCGTGAATCGCGTGCAGGATCACATTCAGAGTCGTATAGTGTATTACCTCATGAACATCCACGTCACACCACGATCCATCTATCTGAGCCGCCATGGAGAAAGTGAGCTCAACCTGCTGGGAAGAATCGGTGGAGACTCAGGCCTCTCTTCACAGGGCCAAAAGGTGATTTAGATCATAAACTATACATAAACTCTTGTTCAAAGTGGATCAGTTTACACATGACCGGGTCAAAGTGTATCCTTGTTGAGGGTGAACACTGTTTTCGAACACCTCCGTTTTCACAGTCCACATTACAAAGCAAAAACAGTGTTTTCACATTCATCACTTGGGAGAGCATCTTCAAAAGCTAAATTTTTGCTGAACAAAAACACTGTCTCAGTATAGATGAAAGGCCAAAACATAAAAAAATGAGACTCTTTCAGATCTATCTGGATTAATGTGGCTGTAGCCTTAACTGTAGCATAAAAAGCCATGCATTTCTGTGATTTGAATCTTCCTTAAACACATATAGATATAGACTAGACGTGTGTCTGTCTTGTTGCTTAGTACGCTAAGGCCCTTGCAGAGTTCATCAGGGGTCAGGCCATCAAGAACCTGAAGGTGTGGACCAGCCACATGAAGAGGACCATACAGACAGCAGAGGCACTGGGCGTACCATATGAACAGTGGAAGGCATTGAATGAAATCGACGCGGTAAGCTAGTCATGCTCTCTATTAAAGGTGTATGCATGTGAAATGCAAATGTCAAGAAAAACAGTTGAACTTAGTCTCTGGTACATTTTAAGGGTGTGTGTGAGGAAATGATGTACGAGGAGATTCAGGCAACCCATCCAGAAGAGTTTGCCTTAAGAGACCAGGACAAGTACCGTTACCGATATCCAAAGGGTGAAGTGAGTCTTGTACACAACACAACAGTGTTAAAATGAGTTTGTGTGAAAAAGTACACTACCGGTCAAAAGTTTGGGATAGTTAAAAAATATATTTTTTTATGTTTTTGAAAGAAGTCTCTTATACTTGCCAAGGCTGCATTTATTTGATCAAAAAGACAGTAATATGGTAAAATATTATTACAATATAAAATAATTATCTATTTTTATATATATTTAAAATTACATTTATTCCTGTGGTGGCAAAGCTGAGTTTTCAGCAGCTGTTCCAGTCTAGTGTCACACGATCCTTTAGAAATCATTCTAATATGCTAATATTGTTGATCAATTTAAAGATTTAAATAAAATTAATCAATTAATATGTTTATTCAGCAAGGATGCACTAAATGATCAAAAGTGACAGTAAAGACATTTACAATTGTAATGTGGGTTTTGGGTTTTGTTTCATGTTCATGTTTTCCATATGTTTTATTTTGTATTGTTTCCTTGGATCACTCTGTAAATAAACTGCACTTGGGTTCTTCACTACACTCGCCTTCAGTGGATGATTCGTTACAACAATGTTACAAAAGATTTCTATTTCAATTAAAGGTTTTTGATTAATCCAAGAATCCTAAAAAAAAATGCAGCAAAAACTTTTCAACATTGATAATAATAAGAACCATTACTTATAATTGAGCACCAACAGTAATTAATAGTACAGTATCAAATCAAAATATTAGGATCATGTGAAGACTGGAGTAATAGCTGCTGAAAATTCAGCATTGCCATCACACAAATAAATGACATTTTAAAATATATTAAAAATGAAAACGGTTATTTTAAATTGTAATTATTTCACAATATTACTGTTTTTACAAACTTTTGACCTTTTTGAGTTTTGCACTTTTCTGTGTTCTGCAGTCGTATGAAGACCTGGTGCACCGTCTAGAGCCAGTCATAATGGAGCTTGAGAGACAAGAGAATGTGCTGGTCATCTGCCACCAGGCAGTCATGCGTTGTCTACTGGCCTACTTTCTGGACAAGAGTGCAGGTCTAAACCAAAAACAGCCAGCAATTGCTGTCACTGACTATGAAATGCACTTTGTCACTGTGATAGGATCTTTCATGTAATTTATACATCTGATTTCTCTGCAGATGATCTACCACATCTAAAGTGTCCTCTGCATACTGTTCTCAAACTGACTCCATTAGCTTACGGTGAGTATAGGCATAGCTATAGTTTTATTTCAAACATGGCTCTTTCCATGATTAGGGTATAATGTGGGGCCCTGTTATCTTTTAAAAGTATGGAAATCTCTTACTGTTTTCAGTCTGAGAGAACTATTCTGTAGATATATTAGAGAAACAATTGTGATCAAATGAACCCAGCATGAAAAGTAGGTAGCAGCATTTAGGCCAGTACCACTTTCTTTACTATATTAATTAAAACCACAACATAATAATTCTGATTTAATCTGAATTCTGATGTGATATTTAGTTCATTGGATGCAACCCTGCTACTACATGATTGTCCCTCATTACATTATTCATGAAAAGTGCTACATATAATATGTGAGTGTGTCGTGTTCTTTTATGCTCTCCTTGCAGGATGCAAAGTGGAGTCCTTCTATTTAAACATCCAAGCAGTGAACACACACAGGGACAGACCCACAGTAAGTCATAAAATCCTATGGAATTATGAATTTTAATCACTGATCAGTGTCTAAAATGGATTTCTTGTTTGCATTCCAGAATGTGAATATCGCAAGAAAGACAGAAGCACTACAGACTGTACCTGAACATCTGTAATCACAAAAAAAATCTTAAATTTGCCAGTTTAGCACAATTAATCTACACACAGATTGTGTAAATGAATAGCAAGTTGGGAGGAAGGAATTTAAAAGGACATTAGCATGTTTCCATTAAGATTATCAAGGCTTGCAAACATGAAAGTGGGATCCAAAGTCTGAGACCACATCTGGGAAAATCTGTTTTTTTTTTTAGGGGGGGGTCCCTCACAAAAATGTAAAACAAAAAATATTAAGACATTCTGAAAATGTATATTTTTCAAAAAATAAAATAAAATTTGAATAATTAGAAAATGCAGAACAGAATGTTTGCGTTTTCACTATAGGGCTCTCAGACTTTTGGATTGTACTTTAGTTTTTAAAACTAAACTGTGAAAATCAAGTATGATTTTACTTTGTTGATAAGATGGTTGCATTGGCATGTTATACGTTGAAATGGATACTGCAACTAAAGATTATTTTTACCCTTTTCCTAGTTTAAAATGTTTAGTTAGAACAGGGAAAATCCCCATTGTGTGAAAGTAAATAGCCTTTATTTATTCATTTTAATATTGCGTTCAAAGAGCTGGGCAGTAATACCTTTTTATGCATTGATAAATTACAGTAATCAGAAGATGATTCAGTTAGTTAACAGCACCATGGATGGCAACCAAAAAAATAAATCCATATTAGTGAAAGTGAAAGTGACGTGACATTGGGTTACGAGTCCGACTCTAACCATTAGGCCATGACTTCCCCCACTGGGGAATTATATTAGCCATCACAGTATCACACAAGAGCATTCTCAAGCCACTTTACTCCTCACAATTCATTATTTATTAGTATGTATGAAAGCCTGTCCAAAAAACTCCAACCTAACAGATTTCTAGAGTAAAAATTCAGTATCCAAATACATCAAATATAGTGACAGTAATGCGGTTTTAGAACAATTATGTAACGACTGAAAGGCATATGATGGTCTTCAGAAATGTAGGCATTCACGGGTTAATGGTTTGTGGTTTTTCGTGCCCCCCAAAATCGTGGCGAGACTCTGCGAAATGTCCAGTATGCACACGTGAAAAGAGCTCCCCTTGAAACCCACAAATACCTGTGCATGATCGAAACTCGTTTGTCTTTATAACAAAGTAATTTTCAAGTCTAAATGAGCATCCATCCCTCTCGTGGCATTATCGTGGCTTCAGTATCATTTTTAGGATCTTTTTGGAAGGGAGGGGGCAATACTGCCCCTTTTATAAACAACTTTGTACCGTAAAATGTGAAGTTAGTGGAAGACCTTACGCACTCGCCTTACGGGCAAAACAGTGGTTTTGGCTTTCCCACACAATCTGAAAGCATGGATGTTAAACTGGATTTGACTATCCACGCTGTCGTTTTCATCCTACTTACTGTTGTTCCTTTTGGATGTGCGCATTTCGACGCGCACTCGGTCCCTCTCCAGGTACGTGTACTTGTTATAGAATTATTATTCATAATTTTACACTTGGTCATTATTTGCCCGATTGTTCTGTGACATTTTCCTCTGATAAGTAAAATGTGAAGTTTTGTCTTGAGTGACCGATGGCAATTTGCGCGACACAAACAAAAAATTCGCCTCGTCACATTACGCGCGAAAACGCACATACTGAAGAATAACACAACATTTAAGAATTTCTGTTCCAGTGGAATGGTATTTCATTCTTAGAATTGTATATATACTTTATCTACTTACATAACTTTTTTTATATTGTATTTTGATGCATTAGGAATAAGTAAAACGGAAGGCAGGTAAATAAAATTGGTTTACAATCCTTTTGGTAATCATAAGTCTTTGTGTGTTCTTAAAGATGTAGTTTTTATTGTGCGTTACGCTGGAATCTTAAAAAGTTGTAATAAAGATTCCCACTAGGTTGGAAATTATGCGAGCAATTCAAATTGTTATTCTGTACGAATTTCTTACGCATTCCTTCTGGGCTTTTGATAGTCAAATAAGGAAAACATAAAGGAAAGGAAGCATATCATTAAGGTGTTGCCATTTTAAGATTACTGTATTCACATATTATGCACATTAACAGAATTTTATGTCAATTATTTCGCCGCTGTTTTATCTCACAAAATTTGCTTTAATAAACCTGTCACACAGCAGTTTCGTTTAAAAAGTGTGCTGGAAAGTTATAGTAGCAGAGACGCATTCTTTTCCATATTTAGCTTTTTGTTTGTATTTACAGGAGATGTGGTAATATATTGGTACAGCAATGAATTATGTGTAAAGCTAACATCTAAAATCCTCCAGTGGCCTTGTGTGTACAGTCCTGACATTTAGTTCCATTTCCACCCCTTTCATGAATAACTTTGATTCAGTCTATTTCAATGCAAGATCTAGACCAAACCACTGGCATCTGAGAATATTTCAAACTATTTTTACATTTACACCTCTGACTTCAAAGGTAGTTTTGTGATTGGTAATACAGTGGTTAATCAAGATTATATGAATAATACAAAGTTTGTATGAATATTTAAAGGTGAGTGGCACTAAGGAATGAGTAAAACAGATTTGTTTTTGTGAGGCATACACTGTGATGTTTAAAACACCTAGCTGGAATTAATTCTTTGAAGATAATTTTATGTGACATATACTGAATGTAATGTACAAGTACCTTTGACACTCTGGATAAGAGAAATCAATACTTATCAATACTTTTTAGAGACTGAGACATCAGACCGCAGCATCAAAACCAGCAGTAAGTATGACAGAAAAAGCTATGTTTTTGCTTTGTGCTAAACTGTAAATATTAAGATAAATGCCTTGGTTTTTTATTTTACCTTGGTTTATTGTGAAATTCTATAAAGCACCAAATAGATGCCTTAGAAACCAGATGTTTATAAAACACATGAGAATGTTTGCATGAGTTAGAAACAGTATGACCAGAAAAATCCAAATCTGTCACTGGAGACAGACAGCAAAACGGAATCAGACTAAAATCATAATGTTTTACATTATTCTTGAAGTTATTTCTTTTTTATTTCTTCTTATTATTACAAGACATTCTATAATCTTAACCCCTTAACTGTCACCCCACATTTTTTAAAATAGGCATTAAAATGCACTATCCAAACTTAAATTGTTATAATTCATGAACACTTTGGAATAAAGAGGAAAGGCTGGTCTCTTTTTAAAGAAGACAGTCAGCAGATTATTGCAGAAGTGAAATTATTTCAAAATTAAAATATCAAAACGTTATAGAAGTTTAAATTAACTGTAAAGAAAATGCACTGTACATTGCATTTTTTAAATTATATTTTATATAAAATAAATATTTTACATAACAGGTTTTACTCTAAAATTGCAAAAAAAAAAGAAAAAAGTAAAGCCTTATGTCTAAACAAGTTACAGTGGGTACGGAAAGTATTCAGACCCCCTTAAATTTTTCACTCTTTGTTATATTGCAGCCATTTGCTAAAATAATTTAAGTTAATTTTTTTTCCTCATTAATGTACACACAGCACCCCATATTGACAGAAAAACACAGAATTGTTGACATTTTTGCAGATTTATTAAAAAAGAAAAACTGAAATATCACATGGTCCTAAGTATTCAGACCCTTTGCTGTGACACTCATATATTTAACTCAGGTGCTGTCCATTTCTTCTGATCATCCTTGAGATGGTTCTACACCTTCATTTGAGTCCAGCTGTGTTTGATTATACTGATTGGACTTGATTAGGAAAGCCACACACCTGTCTATATAAGACCTTACAGCTGCAATATAACAAAGAGTGAAAAATTTAAGGGGGTCTGAATACTTTCCGTACCCACTGTATGTTCCAAATTTGAAGTTGATATAAAAAAAATTGAGGATATGAAAAAAATATGGATTCCTGAGACTCAGACCTTTCCAATTATATGTTTTATGTCAAGATTATAAAAAGTTTTGATTGTAAAAGACCATAATGCATTTTGTAATATGACACTTGCCACTGCCCGCTAAGGGGGAGGAGACTGCCAAAAGATTTTAAAGTACTATTTCCATGGTAATGCAATGTCTGAATTCAAAATGGTTTTCACAGGATGAATCTTGGGCTTCTAAACTTTCAAATTATATATAATTTATGATGATTACTAAAATATTTGATAGAGAAAAAGGACAACGAAATAAGAGTGCCAAGCGTCCCACAGGTGGGACGGTGACGGTTAAGGGGTTTAATATTTACTGTAAGACGCTCAGACCCAGGGAAATATCTTAGCCTTCATAGTTTTTAATTTGTAGATCTAGCTAATTGTGTTAATATTAGTTTCTGTCAATTGTTGCACTAGCTGTTGCATGCAGTGCAGGAAAGAGTGCTCAGATAGACATGGCTTTTCTGTAGCCAGACCAATGTGGTCTGAATCAGATTCAAGTAAACAGATTGAGGTGTTCTATGTACTGAGATGTGACACAAGTTCAAAAAGTCCTGAGAAATCAAAATTAACATGCTAATCATATGAATTGTTCAATAAAGTCATGTTTTTAAATTGATGCATTTTTTCAGATGTGTTCACTGGCTAACTTTCAAATATTAATGTTCATGTGTACCGCTTTTTTTTTATAGCCAAGATTTTACTGAAATTGAAAAGAATAATTTGGAAAACATAATTTGAAAAAGATAATTTGGCTTAGTATATTAATGTTATTTTGGTGTTTGTTGTGCCCTTAGCTCAAGGTGACAGATTACCATGTGCGATGTTCTGTAGTGTCTCGCTATGCTGTAACCACAGTGGAGAGCACCACGTGGAACCAACTCCACATTACTAAGGAGGCGGCCTTCGAGGTGGATTTATCTTCATCTGCATTTATTTCCAACTTTACCATGTGAGTCAAAATTACACCACATTCTTTTTTATTCTGGCTGTCAAATTGGTTTAAAAGATTTCCCTGAATAGACAGAGCAGGGTTATAATTGTACTAATGATTTGCTCATTTCGGAAGAAGTGTTTTGCGATCAAAAGGTATTCTTTTTTTTAATGCTCAGATCTGATTTACTTCACTTAAATATTAAAGATCTGTCATCATTTACTTAACCACATGTCATTTCGAAAATGACTTTTTTCGCTGTTCTTCCGTTAAGCATGTAACAAATTAATTTTGAATAACACCAGTCATACTTTTTAAAGCATCTCAGTACCTGGCCTCCTTGGCACATTCATGAGAAAAGTAGCAATGTCCAATGTGTGAACAATTAATTCTTTTGAGTTAAAGTCAATGAGTCAGATGATCTAGTTTATAAACCTTGAATGATTCATTCATAAATTGGACTGATCTGTTCGGATTCAGTGGCTCTTGAGTTAAGATCTCACTGAAGGGGAAGATATCAAGTGAATGGTGACTTAAATACAGTCTGATTGTCACACAAAGCTTTTGTATGGCTTGCTAAGACTTGAAATCTAGTCATATAGACCACTATTTTATCATACTTTAAGGTGTTTTTTCATTCATTTTGAAGCTTGAAAGCTTCAGTCCCCACTGATTGTAATTGCACGGAACAGAGTGACCAAGACATTATTCAGAATTTCTACTTTTGTGTTCCACAGAAGAAAGTTAGTCATACCAGTTTGGGACCCTCCTAAGAGTGAATAAATAATGAAGAATTGTCATTTTTGGTTGAACTGTCCCTTTAACTTTCTCTTAATTATATTCTATTAGTTGTACCTTTGTTTTTTTTGTACAAATTAAGAAACATAGAAAAGGACACTCAAATGGAGCAAATTGACAGGAAAAAAAGGATCTAGTGAAGAAAGCATATTTGTTCACTAGAGTAAAAGTTATGTAAACCTCTTTTCCAAAAACAAATGCTAAATTTAAATAATTTCCCACAAATAAGGCTCCATAACAGCTTGATAAAGCACACAGGGGCTGGATTTGGAAGCGGACGTTGGTCAAAAGTAAAGAACGTTCGGGCCAGATGAATAGCAGGCTTTGTCAAGAAAACTCAGAAAGCTAATAGAGAAAATGACGAGAACTGGCTCTGTTCACTCTCCCTTTTACCCAACAGAGTTTACCAAGGCACATGGCCAAGACACACACGCTCACACATTTACGTGCACATAAATACATGCACGTGCGTGAAGAATGCACTCATGTATCCATCAACAAAGCAGGGCTTCAAGTTTCAATGTACATTACAAACGTATGCACGCCCTCAAAGAATCACACAAATACAGACCGACACTTCCATCGGGCTCTGTACGTTTTCAAATAGCTGCAGCAAATGTGTTTCTTTCGTGCAGTAGCATTTGTTTAACTGTGACTGAGAGCTCTGTGTTCACAGTGTCACATGCACAGCCATCCCAGACCTCTCAGTGCCACACAGGCGCCTCATTTTCCACTGTGCCTTAAACTGTCCATTCACCCTGCTCTTATTCAAACAAGCTCTTTTTCAAGGCTGTTGGTTTATTTTGGTTGGTCCTTGTTGACTTTTATTTAAATATATTTGCTTATAGGGGCTGACCTTGCTTTAGCATTTTCTCTCCTTGACCCTCATGTAAAGACACAAAGAGAGTATGGTAGCTTCGTGAACTCCTGAGCGTTCATGCCAGGGGAAATGCTCCTCAACCGAGATTTAAGGGGATTTTGGAATTGCTATGATTGCGAGAGATTCTCAGTAATTATGTTTTGTGAGGGAAATTAATTTTCTTTTTGTCATGAGCCATTTCCTCTTGGTTTTGGGAGATAAAGTTTAAAATAAGAAATGTAGTAATATTTGTGAAGCATGTAGTCGCAATTATGAGGAAGAAGTTGCAATTAATAAAATCACAGTTGTAGTTATAGTGTAGTTACAGTTGTAGTGTCACAGTTTGCATAATAGTTGCAACTACGAAAAATAAATTCATAACTGTGATAGTAAATCACATTGTGAGACAAATGTAAGATATAACTATGAAAAAAGTCACAACTGTGAAGAAAGTCACAATTTTGAGTTATAAAATCGCAATTACAAGAAATAGTCACAATTATTGTAGGAGAGATAGTCACAGTTGTGAGATAGTCACAATTGCAATAAAGTCTCTAACTATGAAAAATGAAGTCAAAATCGTGACAGATAAATTCTTTCAATGCGATTATATAAATCGCAACTATGAGGAAAAAGTCACAATTGTGAAAATGAAGTCAGAATATTTAGTTATAAAGTCACAATTATGAGATATGGTTGCAATTACTGTAAGAGAAATAAAGTCACAGTTGTGAGATATAGTCACATTTTGAGATATATATTCACAATTGCAATAAAGTTGCTAACTATAAAAATAAGCCACAGCTGTAAGATATAAAATCATGTTGCGAGACAAATGTAAGATAAAATCATGAAAAACTATGAGAAAAATTCAAAATTGCGAGATTGAAATTGCAATTTTTTCAGATATATATTTATTGCAATAAAGTTGCAACTATGAAAAATAAAGTCACAACTGTGAGGTGTAAAGTCACATAATGAGACAAATGTGAGATATAAGTTGCAGTTACGAAAAATTACACTCTTTTTTTACCTTTAATGGTGGATAGGGTGTTTTAAATTTGATGTATAAACCAGTGAGAAGTGGTTTTGCTACAACATGTTTGAACTACACTGTTTCTATGATCATTATCAAAATATGTATGCTTTTTGCTCTGATTTGTCTTTGTTAATTTCCAGCACCTCTAATGGGAAGGTGTATGTGGCTCAGGTGAAGAGGAGAACTGATGCAAGGAAGATCTATGACACCGCTAAGAAGCAGGGGAAAACGGCAGGACTTGCTGCTACTAAGTCAGTCCAAAATCTGTTTAATACCTTCTCTACTGGGGCTTTTGGCAGAATCCCTGTGTGCAGGCATCCACTAAAAATTGCTAAATTGTTTCATTTACTTTTCAGGTTTGGCCCAACAAACATGCTGTTTTCAAAATGAACGTGTTGACAAAAATCCTTAGTTTTTCTTATACAGTTGCAGATGTTTTGAACAATAAATCTTTTTTGTTGAATCATCTTTAAATTAAATCAAAATCATTTTTCAGGTGAAATGTTATCTCATGACACGGACAAACAATATACCATGAACCTGATCAACTTCTGTTGTTTTCCAAAGGGAACGTGAGATAGAGAAGTTCCGTGTAGCAGTCAACGTGCCTCCTGGGACTCGCGTCTCCTTCACGCTGACGTATGAGGAGCTTTTATCACGACGGCTTGGCCGCTATGAGCTGTCTCTGGGTCTACGGCCTGGCCAACCTGTGCAGAACATCTCCCTGGACGTCAGCATATCAGAGCGGACGGGCATCAGCTATATCAGAGCTCTGCCATTGCGAACTAGCCGACTGCTTACCAACAATGTTCAAGGTACCCTACAAGAACCACTTCTGTCATGTCAATGCTTCAGAACAAAGAATCACAAAATATATGGTTTCTCTCTTTCTCACTGATCTTTCGGCAGATGCAGATCCTCCTCCATCAACTAAGGTCGAGCAGAATCCCTACTGCGCACATGTGCGTTACACTCCCAGCATACAGCAACAGAAGAATATCTCCCCAAGAGGTCCCAATGCAGACTTCGTCATTCAGTATGACGTGGAGCTCAAAGACCCCATGGGGGACATACAGGTCTTTACACTAACGTATCTGATTGATGGTACCAGAATAGTGGTGGTCCTGGTGTAGCATTGTAATGTTTTCACTTGGTTTTTTTTCTCCAGGTGGATGATGGCTACTTTGTTCATTACTTTGCACCTCGAGGACTTCCTGTAGTTCCTAAAGATGTCATCTTTGTCATTGACATCAGCGGCTCTATGATTGGCACAAAAATCAAGCAGGTAGCATCTCCGCCAACTCAAAATCACATCTTGTTGAGAATGAGAAGAACACTGAATCATGTATTTCTCCACTGTGTTTTACATCAGACTAAGGCAGCCATGACCACCATTCTGAGTGACCTACGAGAGGGAGATTACTTCAATCTCATCACTTTCTCAGATAAGGTCTACACCTGGAAAAAAGGCCGCACTGTGCGGGCCACTCGGCAAAATGTGCGGGATGCCAAGGAATTTGTCAGGAAGATATTCGCAGAGGGCTGTAGGTGTTTCTTCTGTATCTCATGATATTATATAAGTACTCTCATGATTCAAAATGATAAAGTGTTTGTTGCAGAATTCTGTTTTTAATTAATTTTTTTAATAAAAATACATAAAACATTTACAGTACAAATATAATA